CGCCATGGCGTGGCGGAGGCAGGTGGCGGCGGGTCATAGGAGGAGCTCCGGCGGTCATGGCGGAGGAGAAAGGGCCTGGCCGGGCGGCGAGCCACCATGACCAAGTAGCGCCGGCAGGTGGCGGCACCGGCAGGTCACGGAAGGAGCTTTGGGCGGTCGTGGTGGAGGGCAGGTCGCCGAGCTCCCTCCCTCCGGCCATGGCAACAATCGCAATATTACTATATTCATATGAAATAATTTGTATACATATTAAATTACCTCAAAAAATTCTTCTAACTCCCTCGATGCGAAGTCATCGATGATGGTGTCAATATCAATCTCATCCAACAATGCTTATCAATGCATAATGTTGCCAACCCATGTAACCTCTCTTGTGACATTGTAGATCTCAAATAGTTCTTCAACAATTTTAATTTTGAGAAGCTTCGTTCACTAGCATATCACTAGCATAGTAAACAAGATGCATAGCATTAGCCGGTTCCTCCACAACAACTATCTCCAATACGTCTAGATCTCTTAGAGTGCTTGTATTACTCTTAGGACATTTATGAAGAGCCCCTCTCTGTGATTGTATTATATCATCGTGGTACTGTTAAAATTTAGAAAAACAATTAGTAATGCAATTTCATAAAGTAGGGTAGCATCGCGCGTCGGCTGTACATATGATTAGGGATCATAGGAGTACGCCATGGCCGGAGGGAGGGAGCTCGGTGAGCAGGGAGGAGCCGCGGTCCGTACGGCGCGAGCAGCAAGCAAACTGTCGGATGGGGACCGAGGTGTGAGCCCCCATTCTCCCGTAGGAATGGGTCTGGAGGGTGGATTTGGGTGCCCAGCCAAAAATGAGGTCTCGAGTAGGGGCTCTGTTGGAGCATGTTTTTTTTTACCCAAGCCCTTATGTTTAGTTATGGGGCCTCAAGTACACCTTTGTGATATAACATAAATGTGCTGTTAATATATTATTTCTAATTAAATTAGTACTTAATTTTCCTAAATGTCTAACGATGGCTATTATGGACATTTTGTAGAACTACAGTGGAGTACCAGCCCTTGGTCGTCGGAGCAACATGCGGTGGTCATTTGTCCATGGAACTGCCCCTTTCGTCGTCGGAGCAACGTGCGGTGGTCTTCTGTCCATGGAACTGCAGTGCCCCTTTCGTCGTCGGAGCAACGTGCGGTGGTCATCTGTCGTCCATGGGGCGCATCCGCCTCTTGTTGACAAAGATACGCCACGTAGGAAAATTACTTCTGGTCCTGGTCTCCTTGGCAACGACGGATCCTGTGTTTGTGGCCCGTGTGGAACCAAAGGTCTACCGATATATATACAGTGTAGCTTGGGCATGGATCCACCTCCACCGTACGGTGCCCCCGTGATGAATGGCATGGCATGAGAGCCGGGCCACTGTCATTGTTTCAATTCCTAGGCGACTTTTCCATGGCCGTAATTTGAAAAAGATGGGCTTGGATCCTGTTTGGCTTCAAGAGTCAAGCGGTGTACCATTTTTGGTGCTCTTGCAATAGAAACATTTTTTTTTGAAAGAACAGAAACAATTTTTTACAGGGTAGTCTCCTCTGCTTCAACTAATAAGCTAGGTGCAACGCATGCACCAACAGTAGTTAACAGACATTTTTGTTCAGCACATTAAGGCCCCGTTCGCTTCGCTGAAAAAACAAGCTGAAACACTGTTCCGGTTGATTTATTGTGAGAGAAAAATACTGTTCCGGCTAAAAAGACAAGACGAAAAGTACGGATTATAAGACAAGCGAACAGGGCCTAATTACTCCCGGCTAGTGTTGGGCCCGGGACTAATATAAGCATTAGTCCTGAGTCTAAGTTTCATAGGTGTAAGAGGCATCAATCTAGACTAAAGGGTCTACATCCCGATCAGTGTTACCAACGTAGATTAAAGAGTCTTAAGACATTAATCTCAGTTGGTGACACCAACCGAGACTGAAGGTGTTATCAACCGGTGGGACTACAGGGTCATCCATAGGTTAGTTGAAAAGAAAAGTATCACATCCAAAGTCACATGTGCTATGTAGGTGAGGTACAAAGCTTCAGGTGAGGCAATACATGAGGTGCGAGTCAGGGGTGAGAGGCTTGTGCTAATTATTATTTTTTTAGCCTCAGAGGACGTTTAGTCCCGATCCTCGGCTAAGAAACTTCCTTTTCCCAATCGAGACTAAAGATCAATTTTCTCTGGTGAACGTTTGCTAATTTCTCTATAAATTAAAACGTCGGGACTGCTGGTCTACTAAAATTGCAAGCCACCTACCAAAATTCTAGTTTCTATAATCTCTATCCACACAATGGCTATGTCACTACACTAAGTTAGTATGCTCTCAAAAGCTAACTAAAGAGCTACACTAACCAAACTAACAAGCTCTCACAACTAGCTATACTAAAGAGCTTGACAGCTAGTTTGCGGTAATATAAAGAGAGTGAGCAAGATGATTATACCGCCGAGTCGAAGAATGAACCAATCAATCATAAGAATCAATATCAATGAAGACCAATCACCTCGGAATTAAATGTTGACATAATGATTTTTTACCAAGGTTCACTTGCTTGCTGGCAAGCTAGTCCTCGCTGTGGTGATTCATTTACTTGGAGGTTCACACGCTAATTGGCATCACACGCCAAACCCTCAATAAGGTGCCGCACAACCAACACAAGATGAGGATCACACAAGCCACGAGCAATTCACTAAAGTACCTTTTGGCTCTCTGCCGGGGAAAGGTCAAGAACCCCTCATAATTACCACGATCAGAGCCGGAGACAATCACCAACCTCCGCTCGACGATCCTCGCTGCTCCAAGCCGTATAGGTGGCGGCAACCATCAAGAGTAACAAGCGAACCCCGCAGCAAAACACAAACACCAAGTGCCTCTAGATGCAAACACTCAAGCAATGCACTTGGATTCACTCCCAATCTTATAAAGATATTGAATCAATGATGGAGATGAGTGGTAGGGCTTTGGCTAAGCTCACAAGGTTGCTATATCAATGCAAATGGTCAAGAGAGTGAGCTTGAACCAGCCACGGGGCTTAAATAGAGAGCCCCCACGAATAGAGCCGTTGGCTTAATTATTGAGCTGACTGCGCATCGACCTCGTGTCCGATCACTACTTGACCGCCACGTGTCCAATTCAAAATGAAGTAGCCGTTGCTGCCACGAGTACCACACACTCACCTGTGACCGGACGCGTCCGATGTGGACGACCGGACGTAGGAGACTCAGCGTCCGGTCGAGTCCAGAGAGCTCCTAGAGCGTCTCTGGGCCGACCGGACGCGACCGGTCACACTAGACCGGACGCAAGAGACTCAGCGTCCGGTCGAGTGCAGAGAGCTCCCAGAGCCACTCTGGGCCGACCGGACGCGTCCGGTTACACTGGACCGGACGCTCCTAGAGTCCGATCAATTTTAACGCTGAGAACCCGTCCGGTCGCTCTCTGCAATTCAGTACCGAGCCACATCATTTTGACCGGACGCTGAACAGTAACTCCTCAACGTCTGGTCGCTCCACTGAGCCAGATTCCGGTCGTTAATACCGGACGCATCCAGTCACCATACCGGACGCGTTCGGTCACTCTGTGACCCGCGCGACTAACTCCTTTTCAACTCTATCTTCTTCACTCTTGCTCAAATGTGCCAACCACCAAGTGTATCACCTTGTGCACATGTGTTAGCATATTTTCACAAATATTTTCAATGGTGTTGGCACTCCACTAGATTCTAAATGCAAATATAATGAGTTAGAGCATCTAGTGGCACTTTGATAACTGTATTTTGATACGAGTTTCACCCCTCTTAATAGTACGGCTATCGAACCTAAATATGATCGCACTCACTAAGTGTCTGGATCACCGAAACGAAAAGGCTCCTACCACTTATACCTTTGCCTTGAACCTTTTGTTTTTCTTTTACTTTTTTTCCAAGTCCAAGCACTTGATCATCATCATGGCAACACCATCATCATGTCATGATTTTCATTTGCTTCACCACTTGGAGTAGTGCTACCTATCTCATAATCACTTTGATGAACTAGGTTAGCACTTAGGATTTCATCAATTCATCAAAATCAAACTAGAGCTTTCAACCTCCACGTGAAGCACGTAGACGTGCCGGCGGGCACAGTCATGCGCAACTGCCTCGAGCATCCGGACGCTAGCGCCCGGATCGTCCGGGCGCTAGTAGTTCGCTAACCGGAGTCCTTAATTTTTGCATTTGATTTTCCAGCTTTCTTGTAAAATCTTGGTAGTGCTACTATATTAGAGGGTTTCTGTGGGACGCAAGATCTTCACAGGAGTCATACATAAATTTTCAGAAAAAAAATATTTCGTTTTTATATAGTTATTAAAAGACTCACGTTCCAAGGGGACATGAATATAAAAAAAGTAAAATGTTTTCTACAATGCGAAAGAGTGGTCTGGTCATGGAGAGAATATAGACCGAAACCAACGTGTGTTGCGTGATGCCTTTTTTTTTCTGACAAACGGCTCATGTATATTGACTGAATGAGCGATGCGAGTGGGAAAATTTGACAAGGAGATGATAGCCCGTAGGCGTAAACTTGTTTTTTCAAACGAATATAAGCCTAACATACGCCTTGGAGTTAGTTGGTCGAGCAATACTGTAACGCTAGCTGCAGCCGGCAGCGCCACCGCAACGACAACGCATCTTGTCAATTAGGGAGTAAAATTGAACAGCGCCTCGTTACATGCATTTGAATTATAAATTTAACTATATATATATATATATATATATATATATATATATATATATATATATATATATATATATATATATATATATATATATATATATATATATATATATATATATATATATATATATATATATATGGAAATTATTTTCTACTCCTAGGGACATGCCGTGACGCCAACTTCATTCAGAACCCTGTCCGCCGTCATCACCCGCCTCGCAGCCGCCAGTGGCAGTGGCCTGGCCACCGGTGACCTGCGTGGTGTGCACCCTCAGCATGCCGGTGGTCGGCGAGGTCGCCTGCGCGCACGGCCTCCCGCTAGCCATCTACTGGATCCAGCCGGCGACCGTTCTCGCCACCTACTACCACTACTTCCACGGCCACGACGAGCTCCATCAACTCGTCGCCGCCGCCGGCGCTGGCGGCGGGGCCAATCTGAGGTCGTCGTCCTCAGACGAGGTGATAATTCTTCCAGGCCTGCACCGCCCTCTTAGAGCCCGCGACATGCCGAGCTTCTTTTTCAGCGAGGAGAAGGCGCAGGACGACGACGGGCTGTCCAAGCTGGTGCTCCAATCGATGCGCGAGCTGTTCCAGCAGATGGACGACGAGAAGCCGGTGGTTCTGGTGAACACGTTCGGCGCGCTGGAAGACGCCGCGCTGAAATCACTGAAATCACTCCAGCCATACATGGACGACGACGTCCAAGTCTTCGCCGTCGGGCCGGCAGTTCCGTTGAAGAACGACGACGGGAGCGGCGAATTCGCGCAGATCCATCTGTTCCAGCACGACGAGACGGCGGCGTACATGGAGTGGCTGGACTTGCAGCCGGAGAGGTCCGTCGTCTACCTCTCGTTCGGGAACCTGCTGGGGTACACGAGACGGCAAGCCGAGGAGGTCCTCCACGGGCTGCGATCCACCGGCCGGCCCTACCTGTGGGTGGTGCGCAGGGACGGCCGCGCCGAGGCGGAGGTGGACGACGACGACCTCTGCCTGACGGACGCGGCGGCGAAGGGGGTGGTGGTGGAGTGGTGCGACCAGCAGCGGGTGCTGGCGCACCCGTCGGTGGGGTGCTTCGTGACGCACTGCTGGTGGAACTCGACGCTGGAGGCCGTGGTGTGCGGCGTGCCCATGGTCGCCGTGCCGAGCTGGTCGGACCAGCCCGTGAACGCGTGGCTGGTGGAGGAGTGGGAGGTGGGCGTCAGGGCGGAGATTGGCGCGAGAGGAGCTCGCGAGGTGTGTGGAGATGGTGATGGGTGCCGGTGACAGGGCGGTGCAGGTGAGGGAGAACGCGAGTGGGCTCAAGGAGAAGGCAAGGCAGGCCGTGGCTGCGGATGGGCCGTTGGAAACGAGGTCTTCGGAGATTTGTTGAGAGCATGCATCTTGGCCGGTCAAGAAAATAAATTACATTTTAGCTATAGGGGTGGTGGCAACAGAGGTTAATTGCTCTGAACTTTTTTTTTTGAAGAAACAATTGCTCTGAACTTCATCTCGGTCATATGGATATGTATGACCTGATATACATTTGCGTTTTATTGAGCAGTTAAGCACAAACGATATTGTTTGGTTTAAGTTTTATTCTTCAAAGTATAAATTAAATGATCCTATGCTTTTATCTGCATACCACATTTATATCGAGGATCTGCATTTTGAATATATAAACACTCAAAAACGGGAAAGTGCCGCCACTAATCAGGATTTTGGGACACCATGTCTCAGTAACATGCATGTCGAGTCATATATCACTTGTCAGTGAGTTCTAAATCCTCCTGCCGGATTTGTTTTAAAAGAAGTCTTAAATCCTAAAATTTTACTTCCTTCATTCAAAAATAATTTTTTAGGCCAACGGACGCTAGCCCAAGTGGTTGAGCGCTCCCGAGGCACCCCGAGGGCCTGACTGAGTTCGATCCCCAGGCTATGCATATTTGCTAGCCATTTGGGACGAATTTCAGGGCTCAGGGTAATAAAATTCCCTCGTCAGTCCCACCCTGAAAGTACAGGTCTGTGGTCATCCTATCTCATAGGATGTGATGCCGCTGTATATGGGTGGGGCTGGGGTTCAGAGGTTTTTCGCGATCTGATGAAAAGATTTTCTTCTTAATGAAATACCGGTGGGACGCCGTCCCCCAAAATCGCGTTTTTTTTTGTCTTTTTTTAGATCGCCGGTATACCTACAAAAGCTAGAACAACCTATGATAGTATATTGTTTCATTTGTTTTGTATTTTGTGTTTGTACTCAAAGGATATGCATTCTTAATAATACAATAATGGCATTCTCTAGAAAGAGAACGAGAGAGAGAAGCTCCAATTATACTATAGAAGATGATCTATGGTTCATTGACCATAAATTGCTAGACAATTTTGATGCATAGTTGCGTATATATACCACAATAAAAAAGTTTTTTTTTCTCAAATATGTAAAAGGTTTGTGCATCTATGTATTATGTATTAAGTAGAATTAGTTTTTACATTGCGCTGAAGCGCATTATTTGGGAGGATTGAATGTTACTCTCTCCATCCTAAATTGTAAGACGTTTGACTTTTTTGGCGTCAAGTTTGACCACTCGTCTTATTTAAAAAGTTTGTGCAAATATAGTCAAATTTAAGTCATTCTTGAAGAATTTTTATTAATAAACCAAACCACGACGAAAGAAGTGATATTTTACACAAATTTTTAAATAAGACGAGTGGTCAAACTTGATGTTAAAAAAGTCAAACGTGTTACAATTTGGGATGGATTGAGTACAATTTAAGCTTTGCCTCCCTAACACTCTACTCCTAGGCGGGTACTCACGAACTAGACAACCGAGCTTGCAGGCTCCACAGTAAAAAAAAGCAAACATAATCTTTATCTTTGTTAGAGAAAATGCCACGCTACCAAGCTCCCATTCCTGGCAGCATGCGCCGGCCAGTGCTCTCAGGCAAGCACTGCTTGTTACCCGGCCATCAGATGTCGAAGTTTACGGTCAAGATTTATTGAATCAGCTTTCTACAGGACCAGCTTAGCACGTAAATCTTACTTACTTTGCTTCTCCTCCTCTGTAAATAAACTTTTTTACTACAGCTTCTATTCGAATCTAGCTTCTACTCCACGTTGTACTGCCTAAATACTTTACCTCGGCTTCTCCCCAATCGGGCCTTACCAACCTTCTCTTCCCCTCGCCTCCTCTTCGACCCCTCTCTCCCGACGCCGATGGCGCGACGGCGCAAGCAGGCCGAGCTCGTCGGTCGCCGGCCCTCGGCGCGGCGGCGTCCAGCCTCCTCCTCCTCCTCCACGCTCCTCTCCTCCTCGCGCCGCAGGACCGGGGCAGCGTTGCTCCATCTCTCGATGCGAACGGCTGCCTAGGGTTTGGCCTCTCCGATGCCGATCCCCACGTGGGCACGCACCACCGCGCCGGCGTCCACGAAGGCCGTCTCCACGGGGCTCCCGCTGGCGGTTGCGCCCCCAGCACAACCCATCTCGGCGCACCGGCCCTCGGCGGCAGCAGCCTGCCACGGGAGCCTCCCTCGGCGGCGGCGGCGCGTCCTCCCCACCTCGTCGCTGGCCGCTTTGCTGGAGGCGGTTTGCGGGGCGCCACACGGTGGTGGCGACGTCACCGGCGGCGATGTGAACCTGAAGAGTAGCCGAGGAGGAGACGCGTCGCAGCAGGTGGCAGGCCCGGGCCGGTGCGTGCGGCGCCCCTCGTTCCGGCGGCCAAGGCACGCCGTGTGGGTGAGACGCAGGGCTGGGCAAGCTGGTCGGTCGATTTTTTTTTCCGGTCTAATTTCTTTGTTGCCAGTCTCTTGCACGGATGTTTTTTTTTTTTTTTGCGAATCAGTCTCTTGCACGGATGGGAAAAGAGAGGCGTCAACAGCAGCTGCCACGGACTGGACGACTATGCAGAATGACGCGATGGCGATGCCCAGGGAGCTGGACGAACTACTCATGGTGAGTGCAGCCTTGATCTCTAATAATTCAAACTTAGCATGGAAATCTTGTGGTCTGGTTATGATGCTTGCATTTGCATTCTCTCACTGAACTCTTGACCTCTTCAGAGCCTGTGGGACTCGGACATGGAGCTGGCCATGGGCTTCAGTTCCTGCAGCGCTCCTCCGAAGGAGGCGAGTGCCACTGCCTCTTCCCAATGTAAGAGTTTTACAATCTGGTTTGCTCTCAAGTCTGAACTTCCGAAGTGCTTTCTCAGGACTTACCGTTGGACAGGCTGCATCAGGTAGAATTTGCTGACTACCCATGAACCATTTGTAATAACCTATTCATAACAGTGTAATGCAGTATGCTTCTTGAATGTATAAGAATTTGTTCAGCATTCTCTGTCATGAAATGGCTGGTTCCTGTGCTTCACCGTGAAAGTTTTGAATTATCTTTAGTACTGCTATACTAGATGAAATTATTACATGAGGTAACAGGGACAAACACTATATGATGTTTCGATGCACAGTTCAAGACAATTTTTTTTGATGTTACTGCCTGATTATTTATGTGACCCTAAAAATAGGTTGTCCATGTTCGAGAGTGAAACAAACACTTGATTCTGCCTAAAAATTCATTATTGACCTAGTGTTCGATTGTAGATGGAGACAACACATATCAGTATGTGGTCCACATTTTTTTGATGGACTGATAAAAAAGGAAGAGTAGAAGGAATGATACCTGGAACAGGAGCTGCAGCAGTCTATTGGTAAGTGAGAGACTGGTACTACAATTATGTGACTGATATTTTGAAAATGTCATAAATGAATTCTAGATTTCTTTTTTCCATATGGCAGTGTTTAGATCCAACACTGGATGACTTTGTACATTGTCTGAGATTGGATTTTGTTAGAAACTATTTAAGTCTGAACCTGGCCCTTCCGGTTCCTTCATGTCCTGAATTGTAGTATGCATTCATGGGACATTAATTCTTTAATTTACATTTTATTTAGTAGAAAAGAATTAGTGACCGCTGATGTTTATCCATTCTTGCGCTTTTACAAATTACAGTGGTATTAAAAAGAGCAAATTCTCTCATCCAAGGACTTATTTACTGAAATACACCATGTTCAAAAGGGTATGCACAACGAGTTTCCGCCTCACTACATTTACTTAGACTCACACCAATCCATCTTTTTTCTATTTGTATTTTGTGTTTTCTTAAAATTATATTTTGGCCAACGAAGATTCACTCACTATCTAAACCAACTATCTATCATCACAATGTCCTCCTTGGTAACTACAGCATTCTGTGTCATATAGTAGATAGGCCAACACAGTTCCATCCAAGTACTAATAGCAATTTCGTGACCTTTGCTCTGTCTGGACAGATGGCCTCTGGCCACACTGCAACTATGGGGGTTGGCCATCATGCGGTAGAACAACCAAATTCAACATAGATAAGGTGCCACCTTCTCAAACTTTCTTCGGAATGAGATGTCTGAAACACTTCAAGTGTGTCATGTCAGCGCAAATCATTTTACTATGCCGCACCTCTTAATGTCTCTATTAGTTTTGCTTTTGTGTCTTTGATTTGTCCCCACATCTACCTGGATTCCTGTTCTGAGTTTGCCCTCTAATTGTCAAGAAAAGATTTCAGGATTATATCTGAAACCTCCAACAAAAAAATAACGCTCAACGGAATGGCGTTTTTGGGATGCATCCTTGGGCTTCAGTTCCCTTTTTTGTGCCTATATGGTGATTCCGACAAATGCCAGTAGCCCCTCTTTTGAGCAATTTCATTTCCAACTGTATTTGCATATACCATGGATTTGTTTCTTTACACCACGTCTGCTTCTTCATTTTAGTTTGATGAGACATAATACATGTATGCGACAATGTATAAACTGCCTTTTTATAACTCAAGTGTTCATTCATGCTTCGTTTTCTAATTATGAAGTTGCAATATCTAAGGTTGCCAAGTAACCATCATTTTTGGCCGTCATCTGGGGCCCTTATGTTGTTTTCTACTCTAAAATAGCCACCATATTAGCATCTACTACATGAGGACCTTATCTGATATGCTCATCACTTATTAAGCTGCTCAGAACAGCAACAAAATATGAGGTTTCACTATTTCTCAAGTTCTGTTCAGACAGTTTGTACAAATTCACAATGCACACAATTCCCTTAGAAACTGAGGACTGATGGTGTGGAGTGAAGCTAACAGATATTTCTGGCAGGATTATCAGGCCATTTGGGTGGGGAGGATGATACTAGGAAATATTTCCTTGTCTTTGGTACATGTCATTGAGCTTGGTAGCAACACAGTCACATTAAGGTGTGGATTTTCACCTTCTGAATCGACACCTACGTTACGTGGTGTTCATAGGTAACATACCATGCTACTGTTTTATAATGTCATTATCATCTATGCAATATATTCTGAATCTGCAAAATGGTGCTTTTACTTCTTTAAAAAATCTAAGAGGAGAAAACTAAAACCTTTGTATTATGTCCAGTGTTTGCTACTTATTTGGTGTTTATTTATTTTGTGACCCTAAAATGTTACAGCCTCTATGAATTGCAACTTAGCTCTATAAACATGTTTAGAGCCCACAACATCATCATAGTTGGGGAACCAATTATCCTGCTGACCACACGGTGTGCTCTGGTGCTCGGAGATGCATTTCATACAATTAGCAAGAGTGAATATCTTTAGACTGTAGTACACACAAGAAAATCACCATCTCACAACTCACTAGCCTAGCATTTTGCTACCTGTCAATTTTGTCATACCTGTGCTTTTGGATCTTTCATTGCCAACCAAAAAACACTGACAAAACAAATCAGATTGTTAGTAAAAAAGTGCTCAATTTCGTATTTTCATACTTGCACCGGATGACGAACAATGGCGACTATGTACGGAATATTCTTTTGTCGGTAATAAATAACTGTTCGTGTAACTTAATTGATCTACTTGCATGTATCTTTTGTCGGTAATAAATAACTGTTCGTGTAACTTAATTGATCTACTTGCATGTAGACCATTTTCCCAGTGCTCTGCAGACCTTAATCTCTGAGATCTATTGTTTTTGCAATAAGATAATGGAACTATGGTCCATCTGTTTCGCCTCCATCGTTTATCAACTCAGTATGTTGTTTCTTACACCAGGTAACACCACCTAACAAGATGTCGGCTTCACCGCTTTATGACATGTGCAGTGCTATGGTTCACAGATGCAAGATATCACCCCAACAAAAGGTCGTCGTGTGAAAAACACATGTTCCTCGGCCTGTTTGTATATTAGGCAAGCTACTCAACCAGTCACAGTCAGCCATGGATGTGTACTCCGACAAAAAATTTAGCTGTTCATTTGTTTAACGTTTGGAAACTGCAAACGTACTCCCAAACTGATATGTAGCAAACTGGACTGAATGTGCTCTGATTGCCTTCGGTACATTATTAATCACAGCACTTCGGTACATTATTAATCACAGCACTTCCTCCATATTTAAAATTTGATGTATCCCTGCACATTGCAAGTGTTACTGAACTTCTGCTCTTGTGCGTTTAGTACTAAAAATAGCTATGTAATATTCAGACAATGATCCACCATGTTATGTATGTGAACTTTGCTTGTGTAATGCTCTGATGCTCTACTGTGCTGATTATATTGCTCCCATTCAGTGCTTTGTATAAATATCAGGCCAAACCACATCATCCAACTGATTTACAACACATTAGTTTGGGAACATAACAAAAGAGCGGCTCCAATTGAGGTACACTAGTCCACGGTTTCCTCGATGCACATGTTTCTCTATACTCGCATCATCGTCCTCCTGCTTATCCGCATCCGCGTTAGTGAGTTCTTACGTCAGCGCTGACGTGTTTCATTTCATCAACGAAGACGTATGCGTTGACTTGTTCCTGCCAGTTGCCGTGCTGGCGCGTCGTTAACGAAGACGGCTGTTTAAGGTGTGGTGGCGAGGGGCGACGCGCTCTTCCTCTTTTCCCAAAGGCAACCTTCTCTACTCGACTCGACTCGAGGGGAAGTTTCGTTCTCGCCGGTGTCGAGGACCTACCTAGGGTTCGAGGACCGTCCGTCCGTCGGGGGAAGGAGCAGGAGCAGGAGGGGGAGGAGGGAGGCGAAGATGATCGAGGTGGTGCTGAACGACCGGCTGGGGAAGAAGGTGCGGGTCAAGTGCAACGAGGACGACACCATCGGCGACCTCAAGAAGCTGGTGGCGGCGCAGACGGGGACGCGCCCGGAGAAGATCCGCATCCAGAAGTGGTACAACATCTACAAGGACCACATCACCCTCAAGGACTACGAGATCCACGACGGCATGGGCCTCGAGCTCTACTACAACTAGCCTCCCCTCCCCCTGTTGTCAGGTACTTACTAGCAGCGACTTGGTTTCCTCTCGAATTCATCAATTTACGCTCCGCCCACTTCGATTCGATTCGGTTCCTGCGCGCCTTGCCACTTGGGGTAGCTTAGCTGGCCGATAAAGTTTTTGATTCTGGGTACCGCGTAGGCTGATTTCAGTGTGGCTGTTCGGAATTCGACTACTTATCTGACTGCCGACTGATTACGAGGGAGGAATTCGTTTCGAGTACTGATGTATTAATTCCTACTACTAATAACTGTCGTTTCGTGGCTTAGTAGGATCTCTTTGGCGAATCAGTGAATTCTGGTTGATTTCTGTGGTACCTTTACACATGCAGAGTCTTCAGCTAAGGACATGTCTGCTTTGTGTTTTACCCTCATTTTGGTGAATATATATGTTTGGTGATTCAGAACATGGCATTGACTTGTTTAGGCAAAATTGGGGGTGTGGGGGGTTCACAGCTGTCAGTGGAATATCCACATAACCAATTTGAGTCTTGTTTCCAGCCCACAAATTACTCATCTGTATGCACCTATGTGAAGCCGAGGTTCAATCAACTAAACTTTGAGCTGAGAATGATGTCCAATGCTTGGCTGTCATTGAAAAATATCTCAGACGCGAAGTTATTTTACTGGTAGCTTCAGGATATTTTCAGATTGGTTTGAGTTTAGCACTGTCTCACTGAAATTTTCTTAAGTAACACAATGCCCATTTTGGTACACAATAGTAGTCCAATGCTTGTGACGCTTGCTACTTTTTTAAACCATTGAACTATGATGCTGTGTATCTATGGAGACAACGCCAATATGATCCAATTCAGTACTAGTAGTTATATTGGTTATTGTGGTCACATAATGGATAATGCTTTAGGTAGTGCTGAAGCTATGTATGACCGTTTAGTGTGTTGAAGCTCTTAACTTTACAGTTTTCTGTATAATCTCTATTAAATCCTTTTCTGAATGTTCTGCTTCGAATATCCTAGAAACTTTTTGTAGGTTGTGAAATAGAGTTTGATTTCAAAGGTTTGAGTGAATCTTTGTTGGTGCTGGTTGTGGCTTCTTGGCTACGTGGAATGTTATCCAGTTCAAGTCTTTTGCATCATAATTTGGTTTTATTGCCTAAATTTGTGAAGCAAGCAGAGTAGGTAACCAAACATATGACATGTGGTGATAAAATAGACCAATTATGTTATGATTGATACAGAACATCGTATAATCATGTTTTGTAAGAGACCAGAAAGAACAAATCCTTTCAACCTACCCAGAAAACTCGATTGTTAAATCACGCCTCATTGAATATTGTTGGATGCACAGGATGAGTCTAATTCTGAAAACTTGAAAGATTATCAAGAACTACTTCCTAAGATGGCTCATTTATAGATGCACACGATGCCTCGTTGTTTACATGATTCTGTTCTAGTTGTAGCATTAGAATCTAGATGTCTTCTAGTAAATGATTTTTAGTTGTGGTTTGGTTATCATTGGCTACATCATTAGATTATCATGTATTGAGCTGTAGTTCTGTTTTGGCAAAATTTGTGAGATCGAATGAAATGGAAGGAGGTTGAATTATTTGATAGACTGATGTGTGAGCCTCACAAGATTTTGTCCTACATCTTTTTTTCTTCCATTTATGTTGACAGTGATACAGGCTGAAATGATGTTGTGGCTAATAGCTTATTCGTGTTTGAACCTGGTGGTGATGGGGTCCTACTGCCCTTGCCTTTGTAGCAAAAGAAATGTGGCTATATTTTCTTGATTGCCTGTTGGCCTCATTAACGGCACATTTTATTGTAGTTATTTTTCACTGCACAATGCATTTTGTGCACTGTAGTTTGGACAATTATTTACAACTTGAAGCAATGCATCAAAACGCTGGAGATTGGAAAACTACTTATAATATCATATCTGTTGATGTCCCCTTTCCAAATAGTTGGCATGTGTGCACTATCAAAGACTTGAACATTTTAGAATCCTGGCAAGGTTGTTTATGCTTGAATTTGAAAAGTCTGCAATGAACCTGTAGATTTTCCTGATATTAACATGTGGCCGAGTACTTGTGCACCTTTACTTAGAATAATTCACTGCTGTGATTCTATTTATGATTTCTTTTGACATATTCCTTCATACTCCACTAATCATTGTTCAATTCCCATGCAGGTTGATC